GGGAGAGACAAAAATATCTAAAAATTTCACTATGATGCATTTTTGAAAAGAATAGACACCATGAATAAGGCTTGTAAGCACTGGACCACAAGGTCCTCCATGGAAGAGTCTAAGGGACGTCGTCACATCACTAGTTCCTCGGAGTGGCAGGGACCCAGCACTCGCGTGTTCATCATGTTCCACCATGCCTAGAGCCCACCGTGGTCTGTGCTGATATTCCTTTCTGGGGGGTGATTAATTCTATATAATTTTGGTGCTAGTACGAAAACTTGAAAATATGTTATACATTTAATTTTCTTGTTTTTATAGCTTTATTTGGTTTTAATTTTCAAATTTGTGTGAGTTTTGTGTTTTTGAAAGCTCTCTAGTAAAAATATAACTTTTTTTTATTTAACATAGTTAATTGCCATGGAAATATTCTCAGGGAAGATTTGAATGGCCTACTTTTTTTAAAAGGATAAATATTTGAGTTTGAGAGAGTCTGGTTGTACTTATATTTTTAATTAAGAGTCAGATATTTATGGGGGTGATCCCCCAAATCAGGATTTCACTCCTTCACTCCTTATTGAGAATACAATTGGATGGCTGGCTTTGTGGTTTCATGGGCAAAGTCTCCTTCTGTAACACCTGCATCCCATATGTGTGCTGGTTTATGTCCTGGCTGCTCCACTTCCTGTCCAGCTCCCTGCTAATGGCCTGGGAAAAAACAGCAGAAGATAGTTTAAGTACCTGGGCCCTGTCACCCATGTGGGAGACCTGGACGAAACTTCAGGATCCTGGCTTTGACCTGGCCCAATCCTGGCTGTTGCAGCCATCTGGAAAGTGAACCTGAACCAGCAGATGAAAGATCTCTCTCTCTCTCTCTCTGTATGTTTGTGTGTCTTCCTCTTTTTCTCTAACTCTTTCAAATAAATAACTAAATCTTTTTAAAGAAAAGCAGATAGGTTAAGGGGATAAAAAGAGCTTCAATCAGTAATGAACACATGGAGCTAGAGCAGTTTGTACTCTGAGAATGGTGTTATTATGTGCCTTACAAACTAACCTAAACCATTTCAGGAGAATTTCATAAATGAAGCAAAAAATGTATACAGATACATGCATATCCCCACACACACCCCTACACACTCCTATCCAGTGACATAGATTGAGGTATGATATTAAATTCCTGCCTCAGAATAAAGGCTTTATAATTAAACAAAAAAATGTTGAGACTATGGTGGTTGAATCACCTTTTCAGTGAATATTAAACATTTGCTAAAGGCACAAATGTATTTTTAAAAAATTTTTATTTATTTATTTGAAAGGCAGAGT